CTCAAGCCATGTGGCCCTGTCCAACAATAAACCAACTTTCCAAGCAGCCTCCATGTCTCCAGTGTCTTTTCCCCACTTGCAGCTGAACCCAGAAGGACATTTCTTTCATCAACATTTAATTGAGTCTCTTTCTTACTTCCAAATTTTCCAGCTGTAGTATCCAATCCCAGAGCAAATCAGTCTATTTCAAAGCTTTTAATTTTCTTTCTCCCTTGTTGAAAAACAAAGTCAAAATAGCCAAGACAAGCTGTACACTCCTTAGAGCTTTTCCACTTATCTTTTCTGTGCTCTGTGCTCAAGATTAAAATTTTCCACTGTTATTTCTTGCCAGATGTTGTTGTACTCTCTTCCCTCCAGTAGATGGCGATTCTGCTTTCCCAATCAGTCAAATCAGTAAATTGTCAATATTTTCAAGAGTCCAAAAATTCCAAATCCATTCAATATAGATCTTTCTATTTTCTCTGTGTCTTTCCTTCCCTGTTTTTGATGTTTTTGATATTTAATCCAAATATTTTAGCCACAAACTTCTTGGGCAGTCACCATTTTTTACCCTCCTTCTCTTCCACTTTCCATTTCCAAATGCCACTTAGCCGCTATTTTAGACCGCCAAAAAATTTCCAAATTGAAGCTTTTTTACCCTTGGATCAGCCAGCCTTCTTCCCAGTCTCCACACTCCATTTGATCACCGCTCCTGCTCTAAACTTGATCCGGATTGCCCCGACTTCAGAGCGGTCATTAAAGATGTCCATTGCCCCTGCCACCGGACTAAAGAGCTTGTTTTGGACCTGCCAAAGAGCTTGCTTTGCTCCTTGCCATCACAGAAACAGGTTTTGGTGAGGTCCCTCGGATCTCGCTATTTCCCCTGCCATTCCACTGCGATGTTTCCAGATTTGAAAGATTTGCAGAAACTTGGGCTAAGTTGGATTTTATGTGATAGATCATTTTATGAAACAAAAGAAGAAAAGCAACTGAAGGGGGGAGAAAAAGAAGAAAAGATAAATAAGATTTTAAAACAGTGGTCCCCAACCCCCGGTCCGCGGACCGGTGCCGGGCCGTGGAGTACCTGGCACCGGGCCGCGCAGCGGCCGGGGGCCATGATCGCTACAGCGGCCGGGGGCCATGATCTCTGCGCAAAGGCTCCTGGGCCGTGCGCAAAGGCTCCAGGGAAGAGAGCCCCGC